AGGCACTGAAACAGTAATATCTTCAGCTGCATAATAGAATCTAATAATTTCAATTAACTGAAATATATATAGCAAAAAGCCTGCTATTCAGGAATAAGGATCTCTTTGTTAATCTTACCTGAAGTCTTCAACGATGATTTTTTCAGATAACTCGGGAGAAACAGAATTGAAGGCTCTCTTGAAGTGTTCGGAAGTCAAAAATCCTCTATCTTTTAAATCAAAGATTAGGCAAAAGAAAAATAATATAAATTAGGGGTTTTTTAAAACTACTTAATACAATTATGTTTACATGTGAGCTAATCAATTCACATTTCTGAAGTCATTATACACTCTTTAAGCTACTGTATTCACAAAATATTTTAGGATGGCTACATTATATAGCCAAAACAGTCTAAGGAAGATTTTATACTGACAATTCCTTTTTGCCACTGTGAACCCTGTTCAAAAGTACTGTGCCTACAACATCTACAACTCTCTTATTTAAGTTTTAATGCCAAAAGCAGACATTTTGAATTGAAAATTTCAGATTTGTAAAACTTTGAAATATAGTCTCTAAAATATGCAAAATTAAATTTCAAATCTCTCATTTTCATTGACATCTTAGTTACTCTGAGCACTGTGTTTAAAAAAATTCCTTTAATAAAAAATTTCTCCTTCAATTTAATGCTGCTGCAGACTTAAGATCTGGAATACGTTATATGAGAGTCATATCAACTGATTAGTCACCTAAGTTATGAATTCACTTCCAGATCCAAGTGGAAAATAAAGCATCTCAAACAGGGCTATCGCAGATTGTGTGCAGCAGACAGCAAGATAAACAAAAGCACAGTGCTTGAAACAGTTAAGTCCTTTGAAGTAACTCTCTAAATATAACACTTCAAAAGCTACTTTTAGTTCATGGCAAAAAGCAGAGTGGATGCTTATCTGAGCATCCCAACATCTGATCTGCCATATGTTTCACTTTCCCTCTTTTCAAGGACCATAGTCCTATATCAGGTCAGAAAGAAAAAAGCAAAGAATCATCTGAATGTCTATCAGCTCAGAGGCTCCTGATGAAGTTTTTGTTTCTACAGTTTGGTGACGGGAGATCCTCTGTTGTCCAGCAGGAACAAAAAAGAATCACCACGTCTACTTCCCAAGAAGAATAAGAAAAAAATCCTTGTTGCTTTGGTTTCCCTTCCTTGGTCTATCATGACGAGTAAAAAAAGATCTATAGCCATCACCAGGGACAGAAATCCGTAAAATATGTAGCATAAGTAAGTGAGTGGAGATACATAAGTAACACAGAAATAATGAGAGGCAGTAACAGCAAGTAGGTAGACTGAATGGCTAGAGATTTTTTTTAACAGCTGGAGGAGTTCACAGTACAACAGACAATCCAGAGCTGCCACCTAGAATACAGCAGCCTACTGACCCTGACTTTATTTATAGTAACATCATCATGATCTTTGTTAGTCTGGTACTGGTTTACTTAACTTTGCAGCATCCAGGGCATCTCATCTTAACTTCTTCTTAATTCCTCCAGGTGTTCTGTTTTGCTTAGTTGTTTTAGAATTTAATTTATACTCCAAATATTTAGGAGAAAAAACTTACCTTGCACATCAAAAGCTGTAAATATTTGCCTTGTTTCATTACTGTATAACTGTGTAGCCTTCTTTGCACTCATGAGATTTAAAAACTTCTCAAATAATAGACCTAGAAAATGTAAAATATAAATAAATATCCCTGCAAAAAAGTCAGTTTTATTTTTCTCCTTAAAAATATGTATGACTGTGGTCTACTAATTATGAATAATTTCAACTATATAAATAAACACAAAAATAAAACTGAAATAATAGCCTTCAAAGTTAGATCATGATAATACAAACATTTCAGTATCGTTTCAATTTTCTCACATATTTTCTATCCTTGAGTACAAAGCTTCTGTTTATTCCCACGTTTTTCTTCTTGTTACCTGCAATCGCATGTTTCTTTGCACTGGAGAGAAACATGGACTTTTCTAAGTCAATAGCACTTGCATGCCATAGATAAAGATCCATGCTGCATAAACAATCTATCTGGCATCATTCCCAGCAGTGAGAGAACTCTGAAATAATCTATAACCTCAAATATAGATTCCTATGAAATTCATAATAAAATTGAATGTAAAACTGGATTGGTTATTCCTCCTGCATACTATATTAAAGTCTTCATTATACATTTATCTTATCCTTTTAATGAACTGAAAATGAAAGAAATTGAAATGCAAACCTAGTTTGTAAGTTTAATTGACCATATCTTCTAAAATCAAAGTAAAATATAAAAATTAAGAAACAAAAATCTATCCCCCAAACTTCAGGCCTCCCCATGAAACATGCAAAAATCTTGATATAAAAATTCTGCAGATGCATAGTTTTTGGCAGAAAACCCCATTTCAGCTCAATATTTAAACACAGACAAATATTCTTATGTCATAACTTTCTAATATGAGCTTTATGCTCATTTTAAACAATTTAGTTTTCTTTAGAAGGCAACATGACTGTATCCTGCAGGAATTTTTCTTTATCAAATAACATAACAAAAGCTCTGCGCTTCTCTTTCTTTTGATTCATTCATATCCTATTCTTTCTGCAGTGGTTCCAAAGCACAACTCCTTCAGCTCCACCTGCTGTCTCAATTCAAATCTTAAACTCTAAGCTTACGGATTTGCTGTGTTTCTTTCCTTATTTCTTCTTGAAAAATCATATATTAAGAACTCTTCACAGTCTCAGTTTCCAGGATTACAAAGTCTTGCTGCTTTCAACTGCTAGGTTCTGTACATGCACAATTTCTTTAATAACAGAGGTTGCCTAAACATACTGAACTTGCCTGCATGAACAGCTTTCCATTCAATTGGATAACTATGGAATTGAAACCATAAAAAGCAATATAAGCTTTCCATCCATTTATTTTTGCTCTTTCAGAGTAACATACAAGCCCAGAAAATTATAGTAGACAATTTTCCTTTTATAGAATGACTCCTATAAAAGAGTGCAGCCTATTCATTGATCTTGAGAGTTAGCAATTTATGTACTACTAGAACAGGCTGTAAAGCTATCTCTTCTGGTTCAAGCATTCATATGTGGTTGTTCTCTTGAAAAAAATCCAAGTAAAATCTTTATTCTGTATTTGTTGCCTAAATTAAAGATCTACAAGTAAGGGTGTGGTTTAACGAACATGGGTTTTGGCATCAATGCTAGAATAAACAGAACTGGCCTCCACAATGCGCTTCAGATGTATTGATACAAACACTTGTGTGGCCATGTGGCGAAAAGGATGAGGGAACTTATTGATAAAACCAACCACATTTTTTTGCCACTTCATTATTTATATGAATCATTTCTTCAATAAGACTTGCCACATGACTCCACAAATAGATGTATGGGCATAACTGATAAGGTCAAGGACAAGAAAAAACAAGCAGAACTATATAAATGGGAGGGCTGTTACAGAAAGAGATACTTACTGAATTGTGGTGCAAGACTCCAGTATTTGCCCAAGTAAACAGTGGAACAGTATCAAAAAACTGACAGAACCTTTTTCATCACTTACCAACTTAAACACTAAAAATTACTAATCACTTTTCTCTATCACTAATCTATATAATGTCGCTATTAAGAAATGCCACTTTGAGAGCAAGAATAAGTTCAAGCTAAAGGTAACAAGCACTAAAAATATTACAAAACTAAATTAAATCATATGATACTCTTTAATAGCCTTGGTAATCTCATTTATAGAATCACAGAATCGAATCACAGAATCATTTAGGTTGGTAAAGACTCTTAAGATCATTGAGTCTAATCGTTAACCTAGCACTGCCAAGACCACCACTAAACCATGTCCCTAAGGGCCACATCTACACATCTTTTAAATACCTCCAGGGATGAGGACTCAACCACTTCCCTGGGCAGCCTGTGCCAACGCTTAACAACCCTTTCAGTGAAGAAATTCTTCCTACTATCCCATCTAAACCTCCCCTGGTGCAACCTGAGGCCATTTCCTCTTGTCCTATCAGTTGTTACTCGTAAGAGGCCCCGGGTTCAACCCCCAGCATCTCCACCAAGTACATCCAGGCCCTTGAGCGAAGACAATCCCACGAATGGGTTTGCCTTTGCCCGAACCAGGATACACCCAAACAGTTTTACCCAGCATGTTCCTTTCATGCACCACAGGGACTTTGTCCCCTTCTACAGTATGTAGAAAAGGCAAAGGCAAAAGTATGTACAGTATGTAGAAAAGGCAAAGGCAAAGGCAAACCCATTCGTGGGATTGTCTTCGCTCAAGGGCCTGGATGTACTGGGAGAAGAGACCAACCCCCACCTCGCTACAACCTCCTTTCAGGTAGTTGTAGAGAGTGATAAGGTCTCCCCTCACCCTCCTCTTCTCCAGGCTAAACAACCCCAGCTCCCTCAGCCACTCCCAATCAGACTTGCGCTCCAGACCCTTCACCACCTTCGTTGCCCGTCTCCGGACTCACTCCAGCAGCTCAATGTCCTTCTTGTAGTGAGGGGCCCAAAACTGAACACAGTATTCGAGGTGCAGCCTCATCAGTGCCAAGTACAGGGGGACGATCACTTCCCCAGTCCTGCTGGCCACACTGTTCCCGATACAAGCCAGGATGCTGTTGGCCTTCTTGGCCACCTGGGCACACAGCCGGCTTATGTTCAGCCAGCTGTCGACCAACACCCCCAGGCTTTTCTCTGCTGAGCAGCTTTCCAGCCACTCTTCCCCAAGTCTGTAGCACTGCATGCGGTTGTTGTCACCCAAGTGCAGGACCAGGCACCCAGCCTTGTCAAATCTCATACAATTGCATACATTATCATTAACATACACCAGGTTCTTCAAAACTCTTGAGAGTCTTAAGCTTCAAATTTTTTTAAATTTACAAATGAAAAAGGAACAGAAGTCATGACAGATAGGTGTTTGCATATTGCCTGAATTTTGTGGTCTCACAGAAGACATTACTGAATCCACCTTCACACTGGAACACAGAAGATATGCCACAGTGGTTTTCTACAGAAGTGATAAATTTGAACTCCTCTATGATTTCCATTTATATCAATAGTATGTGATTTCACTAAATACTGATCTCATAATATATATTACACAGTATCATCTATGTCATTTAAGTAAGAAATTATTTTATTATAATTAAAACCATCTATTTTTCGTCCAGTCAACTAAGTATATATGTAGTCCTAATAGAATCCTAATCAATATCCAAATTTTAAACTAAGTATGCTTAAACAAACATGCTTAACTTTATACAGACTGGAGTTCAACTACGTACAAAGGAACTGTAATATTCAAAATTAACTTTTGGAGCATCAGCCTCCAAATTTGTTATTTCCTTTAAACAATGAAAGAACTTTCTGTTTCAATAATCAGATTGGAGACCAACTATTTCCTGAAACCTAGTTTGATCAAAATTCATTTGGTAAATCTATCTAAAATAAAAACTTTAATAAAAATGTAAAGAATAAAAAAAATGAGAAGGCAATGAAAAAATCTGTTCGCATCATCCAGATTCTATAACTATGCTGAAATCAATCCACTACTGTCTCATTTTATGTACTATGTATCTCCTTTACTGTCTTTCAATAGGACCTTACCTCACAATTTTATCTGATAGCAACACAGGAGTGACAGTTACATGACAATTAGCGTGTTACCAAGATTCACCTAACACTAATGTGTTACCAAGATTCATTAATAGTACAAAGGCAAAAATCGAAACAACATGATGAAAACAAAAAAAAAATAATTTACTTTTCAGAACTGAATTAGGAGGTGACCAAGACATCACTGGAAAAGATCTTTTAACAATGTAAAGAACAGAAAGGGAGTGTATAGCCAAGAAAGCACAGAGTTCCACTTTGGACTATATTTATACTGCTTTTTAGCATGGCTCATGAGTCCAAACTCTCACATCTATGTTATTAGAATACAAGATTGTACATAGTTGCAGCACTGAGACAACTCACATGAAAGGAGACAACACGTTAGCAGCTTCTAGTGCAACCAAAGCGTGCTCCATTCTGGTGCACGGACAAGGCAAACATGCTGTGACCGGTTAACCTATGACTATATGTTCCGTTTGGCCTGCAACACTTTTCACATAGACTGTGTCAGGCATACAAATAGACTACGTAGTCCTTCTTAGAAAGCTTTGATAAGATGTGCCAGAAAAGCAGCTGGAAGTTGTAAGCAGCCCTGAGCTCAGACTGCCCTTCTGTACTCTGGATGTCAGGGTGCTCTCCTGTTGGCATCTTGTTGAGCACCAGATGTCGACCTACCAGTGTCCTGACATGAGGGTAAGGAGTTGGGTCAGGGAAAACACTGGACATTCTGTGGGGCCTGGCCTCCTAGGCACAGTGTAGAGAGTGCTTTTAGTTAGATCTAAATGTAACAGTACCAGGAATGAAACTTCAGCTGGGGAAACAATATGTTTTCATGACTACTATTCCTGCAGCACCCTTTTCATTTGAAACACTAGTAAGTAGTAAGGTCAGAATCTCTATGAATAACCACACAAAATTAATATTTTGTAAGAAATAATATAGAAATGTTATAACAAATTATTTTGAAAAAGCAAGTGGAGTGGGAATGGGATTCAAATTCTTAGGTCCGACCTTCTCCAGTAAAGAGTTCCTTCATGACATCTAGTGGCTAAAGTTAGTATTACTTATAGAATAAATGAAAACACGACCAAATAAAGATGCAGCAACAATTTACTAAAAATGCGGTTGCTTGATTGCAGTCGATAATGCTAAGTAATTCCCATTTTTACTGAAAAATTTATGTCAGTATGCAGTGTAGTTAAGAAAACAGTTTCAACCTTAAGTAACATGTGCACACCGTTCCCTATTTTTTGGAAAAAGCTCTTGAAAGTACTTTCCTTGCCAGGGTTGTTCTTAGCGACTTCCAAAGAAATACAAGGACTGTTACTATAGTCTCTGATTTTAATCATTTCGACAACAGAGCAAAATGCAGAATAACATGCTCAAGAACCGGATCCTAACAATCAACTTTTAGGACTGTAACTTCTGCATTTGGTTCCTATCTGGTACACAGAGAAAGCTGTGTTTCTCAGAACTAGATTAAAAACTACACAGATGTTGAAAGGAACACTTACAAGGCCTAGCCATCAGCAAAAGCAAAAGGTGTGGCCGTGCCATAAACCATAGTTAATGCATGTTAGCAAAAGCCACAAAGAAAAGTATCTGTCTACCCAGGGATCTTTTTAGTACTTCACAATGAGCAGTCATTGGGTAAAGAGCAACAGTTGCTGGAATTGGGCCCACTTAAGGTGGTAGCAAAACCACTAGACAACAGAATCAGTCCTGGAACAAACGTTTGTAATTAATTTTTGTGCAGCTGCACAGACAAAATGGTCTACAGCCAGGTGGTCGTGGCACTGCCTAGAGACACAGCACATGTGACGGCACCTTTTCAGGAAGAAATAACTAAACTTGCACCTCATTTCTTCCCAGGAGCCCTCCACTTCCTATTTTCTTTCCAAGAAGGAGCCATCAGTGACTTATGCGCAGAATCTGCTCGTTTGAATGCCTTAAGCATGTTCTGAGTACTCCTACTGGAAGAAACATTCAGGGAATTTAACAGAACAGCTAATTTTTACATGAAGGTAAAAATAGATAGCAGAAGATAGATAAGGAGAAGCAGAGTATTTTCAGATTCATAATTCAGCAGTTAAGACTTACTTTAGAAGTCTAAATTATTTTTAGATCTGGCCCTAGTTCATTGAGAAAATGTTTACCCACAGCTGAAATGCATCAGAGATAACTACTTTCACAGTTTAATAAAACATTTCCATGGTTTTTACTTTAAATGATCATAGATAAAATTTTGTTTTATGGCCTTGTTCAGACTATTTTCCTAAAACACATATCTAAATAAAAAAAAGATAATTAGTCACAAGTGGTCCTTGAGGAAGGAGATTGCTCAAACTGGAGAAGAAAGATGAGTCATAATTTCTATACTAAATGTACTTTATAGTATATTGGTCAAGCTTGTATCAACATGCCATGAGAAAGAAACTCACAGACATACCTGTATTTATTCTGAAACCTTGCATGTGTGTTCTTCATATTCTTTTTGAGATCATTTGCAGTACTAGACTAGAAACATAACTTCCAGAACTACATTAAGCCATACAATTTATCCTCTATCTTCCCGTATGCCACACATTATTTCTCTCAATAAACCTTTCTTTTGTTAAGATTTTTGTACAGCTATAGAATAATATTAGAGAAGTCAAGACTAAAAATGTGCAACTGTTACTTGAAACCAAAAATAGCTTTATTCTGAGTAAAGAAATGGAGTGTACCACTAATAAAAACCAAAAATTGATCAATAACAATCTCAGTAAGTCACTTATTTCATACATCTTGTACACATACGAAATACAAGGCACCCTTCTGCTCTTCACAGTCTGCAGCAGGAGAGGTAGAAGTTTGATTATTTTTGAAATAAATACCCCCAGACAAGAAAATTACTTTAAGAATCTGTAGGTATTTCTGTTTACCAAACCTACAGTAATTCACTCCAATTAGTGCGGACCAGTCAGTACACAGAGTTCTCAGTAGTGAGACATCTATATAAGCTGGATCTTCTAAACAAAAAAAAAAATACCTTTGAGGGTTTATAACCAAACAACATTACTACAGCAACTTTAAATTCCTCTCTGCCTAAATAGCCTCTGTTATCTTCACATGCTTCAAAAACATACCGAAAGAAAGTGATTTGCATTAAAAAAAAAATAAACCTGACCTAATACTTTTTACTTTGAATAACTGTTATGGGAAGAATAAAATAGGCACTCGCTGAATACACTACGCTATTTTAAAAAGTATTGAAGATTAGCTGTATCTCTGTCAGAACTCTGTTCATCTGCTCTGTTACAGTAGCTGAAAATGGACTGGGTCCATTTAATTTAAAATTTTTGTTAAGTTAAAATAAAGTTTTCTTACTTCTACATTTTACGTGTTTATTATGAAAAGGCTTTTTGCAAACTTAGAGTATATGGTACAGACTTCTATTAACCCAATTACATTAGATTTGTTTCTGCAAGATATTGAATTTTTTCTTGAAAAATGCCAGACAACTTTAATTCTCAGTTAAGTCACCATATAGACAGGAACTCTGAGGAGAGACTGGAATGCAAGCACAGTCAGAAGCCATCAAATTTTCTGAAGTACTTTTGGAAAACAAATACTGTTCCCAGAGTCTATACTTAGACAAGAGATAATGCACATAACATACAAAAACATACAACTTTCCCAAGAGCTTTTCTCACAGAAGACATTCAGTAAGAGTTGGTAATAAAAACTTTTAATCGCATAGAAGCTAAGAATATATCCAGAGATTGTTTCAAGAAGAAGCACTACATGCAACTCTGCAGAAAAGTACTAATAAAATTATTCAAACAAGTTGAAATTTCATTGATGTTTTTCTATGTGTAGTTTGCCAATTTTATTGCATACTGATGTAAGGCATTTACATTATTTGTTAACTGCTGTCAAAAGCTTGTAATAAATTAATGAGAACCAAACACTAAGACAGTTCATTTTGGTAGATAGAGCAAGCTTTTATGTAGTCCATGCTCTCACTTTGATTAATTTTACACCTGTTTTCCTCCCACTCCCTTCTTGAAGTCCTCACACAGTTATCTCATTAGCAGGGCACTTCAGACACAGTAATTAACACCGAGCTGAATGAACGATTATGCAAATACTACACCTGCCCTAAACTAATATTAAGGTCAAATAAAGACTTACTAGATTAATTCAGGTCACTAAGACGTGACTGTTTTGCCGGTTATTCGGCTTTGAGAGAGATGCCAGAGCTGGCCCCGCCGCCCCTTCAGGCTCCTCGCCCACACCGCTGCGGAAGGGGACGCTCCCTTCAGGCCGCGGCACCTGCGCCCCGCGCCACAGAGACGCACAGGCCCCGCGCTGCCACCAACTCCCGTGGGGCAAACGCAGCGCAGGCGTCGATTTGTTAAAATCAGACGCGCGCCATTGGCTCGGGAGGAGGGAGGGGCGGGGCTGCGCAGGGTGAGGGCGGACCTCGGCCTTCTCTTCGCCTCAGGCTTCGGGCGCGCTGCCTGGCTGTTGGGCCTGGAGGTAAGCCGCTCTCCTCCCG